CCCATGAGCGTGCCCGTCGGCCCCTTGATGGCAGTCTGCGGGGAGGTGCCCTGCGCGGACTTGGAAGCCTTGGCGCCCGTGATGCCCTTCTCGATGCCGATGCGCTGGATGGGGACCTTCGAAGTCGAGATCTTGCCTGGTGCGGCGCGCTTCTTGCCCTTGCCCTTCTGCTCGGGAGTGGACGGCACGCCTCCTGCAGCAGCGTCTGCCTCCCCCTCTCCTGCCGTGTAGACCTCCCCGTCCGAAGCCGCCTCGGCGTTCTCGCCCATGTCGTTGCCCGACGCCGCCTCGGCGTCGGAGGCCGCCGCCTCCTCGTTGGCGGGCTTAGCGGCGGCGGGCCTCTTGCGAGCTGCAGCGCCCCGCTTGGGCGCCGCCGCCGCATCGGCCTCCTGCTTGGCCAACTTCTCGGCCTCCTTCTGGCAGATCGCTTCGACAGTCTTCTCGATCTCCTTGAGGAGGTCCATCTTCGCCGCCATCGCCTGCTGCTTCGTAGTTTTCGGGTCGCGGACGAACATCTCTAAGATCCGCTCGGTCATCACCTTGACGCCATGCTCCTCGTTGTCGAAGTGCCTGGTGGTCGCCTGCGTCTGCTGCTCCTTGGTGCCGTCCTTGAGCTTGCGCATGATGAGGATGAGCTTGTGGTTCGGATCCCGATCTCTCTTCAGCTCGACGTAGACCTTTGAGCCGTCAGGTAAGTATTTAGAAGGAAGTCCACTCTTGGCGCTCTTCGGCTTCTCCTTCTGCTGATGCAGCGCCTCTGGGTAGCGCCACTCCTTCCCATCGGCCCACGTGGCAACCATGAATCCGCCCTGGTCGGATGACCGCGAGCTGTCGCAAAGCTCCACCCGCCGCGTGCTCGGTTGGATGCGCACTGCCGAGTTCTTGTTCTCGTCGAATTTGTAGACGTACTGCACCTCGGAACCTGCGCTGTCACCTGCAGGCTTGGCCGCGGCGGGCCTCTTCTTCGCGGCCCCCGTGCCCTCGGGCTCGTCCTCGCCCCCTGCCGCTGAACCTCCTCGCATTGACGGCCTTCGCCTGACGGGCGCGCTGTCCTCCTCGTCCGCGTCGTCCTCCTCCTCGTCCTGATCCTCGTTCAGGTTGATGCCGTCGGTGTAGCCCTGCTCCGCGATGACGGCCTTGTACCACTGAGGGGGGCCGAGCTTGCGGCGGTAGAAGGACCCCACGTGCATGCACAGCGTGCGCACCCTAGCCGTCATGTCCCTCACGTAGCGCTTCTTGGAATCGCCCTCGAACAAACTCCAGGGCGGCTTTCCTGTCCTCGCCTTCTCGGTGACCAAGAACTCGATCGCGTTCTCGCACGCGACCTTGCCGACGCTCAAGTTCGGCGCTGCCTGCTGCCTGATCGACTGCGCGACGAGCACCGCAGCGTCGGCACTAAAGGGCGCCTGGTCGCTGGACACAGGGAAGGAGGAGTGGTCGCTCTTGCACACCACGAAATCTGGTTTCGTCATGACAGGGCGCAGCACCTTGGTCAGCAACTCCACGTCCGTGCACACGGCGCGGGTCGTCGACTCGGACCCGTCGCTGGCGCCATCATCAGCCATGCGGTAGAGCCGATCGTCGGATAGGGCCGAGCGTCGGGTATGGCATCTGGCAGCTGGTGCCCACTGAACTTGTGGAGCCAAAACGTTTACGGACACATAGATCGGGGCGCTGCTGGTTCAAAACTCACCGAAACTCCCTCCAGGAATGCATCCAGGGCCCCGTCCAGGGCCCCATCGGAGCTCATCGGGAGCTCATCGGGATCTTCCGATTGGGATCCGATGAGTCTCCGACGAGTTTCCGATGAGGTTTCGATGAGTTTCCGAAGAGTTCACGATGAGTTCCCGATGGGTTTCGATGAGTTTCCGATGAATTTCCGATGAGTTTCGATGAGTTTCCGAAGAGTTTCCGAAGAGTTCCCGATGAGTTTCCGATGAGTTTCCGATGAGTTTCGATGAGTTCCCGATGAGTTTCCGATGAGTTTCGATGAGTTTCCGAAGATCGATCCGATGAGTAGATAGTCGACGACGGGGGGGGTCGGCGAGCCCCCCGCCCCTGAGCCCCCCCTCCGCGCGGGGCGGCGGCGGTCCACGACACCAGCCAACGCCTGCTCGAGCGTCTCGTTCGCGGGCACCAGCGTCGCGCCGTCGTCGGCAGCCTGGCGACGACGACGACGACGACGACGACGACGACGGCGACGACGGCGACGACGGCGGCGGCGGCGGCGGCGGCGGCGACGACGACGACGACGACTACGACTACCACCCATGGGTGGTCGTCGTAGTCGTCGTCATCGTTGTCGCCATCGGTGCCGGAACGACGGGGGAGGACGCCGCCGACGACGCCGCCGACGACGACGACGACGACGACGACGACGACGAGTAGAGATGGCCTCCGTGGCCGTCTCCTGCGCCGTCTCTGGCGGCGGCGAGGCCGTCTCCTGCGCCGTCTCTGGCTGCGGCGTGGGCGCAGCCGAGCTGGCCACGCTGTCCACCGCCGACGCCGCCGCCGTCGTCGGTGGCGTCGGCGGCTCCGCCGACTTCCTCGCACGCGGGGTCGCGGGCGGCGTGGCAACCTCGAAGGGCGCCATCGCGCGCGCCCCGCGGAAGCGCGCCAACTGGGCGCGCGGAGGAAGGTTGACCTTCTTAGTGGCCTCGAAATAGCCCAACATGCTCGATCGAGCCAGAACGCCGATCGCGATCGATCGAGCCAGAACGCCGACGACGACGACGACGCCTCGCGAGGCGTCGTCGTCGTCGTCGTCGTCGGACGATGGTTTCCGACACCGCGTGGGGCGTTCGTCCCCGAACGTCGAGATTTCGCGCCGCGGCCCCGTGCCCGCGAGCACTGGGGCCCGAGATGGGCCCCCGTAGCGCGTTCAACCTTGATCGCGTGAGGCGCCTCCGCGCCGTCCGCCCCCGTCCTCCTCCTCCTCCTCCGCCATTTCCTCCTCGCCCGTCCTCCTCCTCAGTAGGGTTCGGGGCATCTGGGGCAGTGAACAACTACACGGATGGAGGGCGGGTACTTTCAAAATGACGTTCTCGCCCCGCTCACTGTTTCACTTACTTTTTCATGTTAAGCGCGGCGCCCGTTTATTTAACGAGCCGCGTCCCTAATTGTCTTAACCCGCGCCGCCTACGGGCAGCGGTGTACCCGACGGCCTCGTGGCAGTGTTCAACACGTACCACGTGATCGGGCATTATTTGATACGTACGCAGTGCAAACTCATCGGACACCATCGGAAACTCATTGGTAGTGCATCGGAAACTCATCGGATTCGATGGGCAGGCTTAAGGGTCGTTTCACCTGCGGCCCACTAGACTGCTTCAAGACGGCTCAAGATGGCCCAGAGACGGCTCATGATGCAGATATGACTCATAACTGCTATTTTAAGAAAAGATATTTGTCATAACTGCTATTTTTGCAGATCTGACTGTTAACTGCTATGTTTTACAGATATTTGCCATAACTGCTTTTTTTTGCAGATATGGGTTATAACTGTATTTTTTGCAGATATGACTTAGGACTCTTATGAATTTACAGATATGCTCAACATGATATAAAAATGCGCATAACTGCTATTTTTTGCATATATGATTCACAACCGGTATTTTTTGCAGATATTTTCTGCAACCGGTATTTTTACCGGTATCGAACCTCAGGGTCAGTGGGACAGTGGGTACAGTGGGGATAGTCGGGCAGTGGTTGGGGCCGTGGAGACAGTGGGGAGAGTGGAACCGTGGTGGGAACAGTTTTGGGGACAGCGGGGACAGTGCGACAGTGGTGGGGCCACTTGGTGGGGACAGTAGGGGCGGTGGTGGAACCAGTGGGGACAGCGGTGGTTAGGACAGTGGTGCTGGGAACACCAGTGGGGGATGTGATGCGGACGGTGGTGGGGACCGGGAGTCGTTTGCTGGCGGTGAGTAGGGGGGGGGGGGAAAGGGGAAGGGGGGGTGCGAACCGGTAGTGACCCCCCCGTTTTCCGGATCCGGAGGGGGGGGGGGGAGGGGTTCGAACCGGTAGTGACCCCCCCCCGGTTTTTCGAGGGGGAGGGGGGGGGGGGGAGGGGTTAGGGGAGGGGGGGGTTTGCCGGAGGGGGGGGGGGGGGGGGGGGAGGGGTTCCAGCAGGGGGGGGGGATTTTCGGAGGGGGGGGGGGGGGAGACCCCGGGTTCCGAAGGAAAAGGTTGGCAATTTTCCACAGTAAAGCGGCGGTGGATCACGCTCTCTCTGTCCATGGGATCCGTCAAAGTCTTATACATGTTTAACGCGAATGCGCGCGGCGCCGAAGCGAGAGCCGCAACAAAAAAACTAACCGCCCTTAATCCGTGAAGCTCTTGCAATATTTTAAGACGAATGCGCGTGGCGCTAAGGCGACAGCCACATTTTGAAAAGCACCGCCCTCCATCCGTGAAATTCTTGCAACTCTTTAAGATGGATGCGCGGTGCTAAGGCGAGATCTTCATTTTGGAAACCACCCGCCCTCCATCTGTGAAGCTCCTGCAATTTTCTAAGACGAGTGTGCGCGGCGCTATGGGGGAGAATCCTATTAAAACAACGGATGTGCACGGCGCTGAAGCGAGAACCACATTTTGAAATTCACCCGCCCTCTATCTGTGAAATTGTTCTTAATTTTGAAGCTTCAGGGTTGAAGTCTCAGGCGAAACGCCCGGCCCGCCCTTTCGTTCGGCCTCGGGGCGCAACAGGGAGGAGTTATTTATGAGGGAATGGAATAGAGGAGAAGCCGGAGGAGTAGGAGGAGGAAAGGTCGGAGAAGGAGGAGGAGAAGCCTCAGGAGGATGATGATGATGATGAGGAGGAGGAGGAGGAGGAGGAGGAGGAGGAGGAGGAGGAGGAGGAGGAGGAGGGGGGAGGGAGGAGGAGAGGAGGAGGGAGGAGGAGGAGGAGGAGGAGGAGGAGGGAGGAGGAGGAGGAGGAGGATGAGGAGGAGGAGGAGGAGGAGGAGGAGAGGAGGAGAGCTGCCCCCTCCCCCGCGCAGGCCTCGGCCTACCTGGGAGCCGCCGGCGCCTGCGCCGCCGGGGGGCGCGGCGCGTGGAGGCACGCGCTGCTGCTGCTGGACGGCGTCTCCCAGCGCCCCGGGCTCTTCTTGGTTGGGGCCCCGGGGGGGCGGAGGATCGGGGGCGGCAAAGAGGGGAAGGTCGGAGGCCAGAAGGTCCCTGTTTCGAAAGCCTAGAATGAACAGTTTGGGGAAGGTGGTCGTTTCTCCTAAGCAGTGGTTCTCACTCGACCCTTTGCATGTTCCTTCGCCTCAACATTTTGATGAATCATTCTGAGGCTCCAGGGCAGCTTATTTTCAAAGCGTGGCCATCGCGTGGACGGCATGCCCGTGAGCCGCTCGCCTTTCGAGGGGGCGGCTTCCGTAGTGAAAAGGACACCTGCAGGGACTGCTGCGGGGGTGACTTTGGACGGGACGGTGCGCTGCAGCATCCTTGATGCATCTTGGGTTTGATCAAGTCGGGGGCGGCAGAGAGGGGGGTGATGACTAGGGGGGGGGTGGATCTCATGGCGGGGGCCATGATATTTCCCCAGATTTCACGGCGCCTCTTCTTATTTCATTACGTCCCTGCCCCCCCCCCCGCTGGGCCGCGCGCATGCCGCCGGTCATGCTTTGCACCCCCCCCTCTTGGACGCCCCCCAATTTGCCGCTCCCGAGAGGAGGAGCAGTGCAAACCCAAGACTCGTGAACGAGATCTCGGGAGGAGGAGGCGGAAGGGGGAGGAGGAGAAGGCAGAGGCAAAGGAGGAGAAGGAGGAGGAGGAGGAGCAGGAGGAGGGGGAGCAGGACCGGTGCAAGCCTGAGACTCATCAACGATATTGCAATCAACCCTCCCACCTAGTTCCCTTTTCATGGGCCCCTACAAGGATTCATTTTCACTGAGAGGAGTGCCCCGTTAGAAGACAACCGTTTGAAAATCTTGATTTATACCAAAACACCATTCCTGCGACTTGTAGCGCAATTCCTGGGATTTCAACGCCGCGAATCAACGTAATGGTTGCGCCCTGACAGTCCGACATCATGCCAAAGCACCATTGAAGCTGGTGTAAGCTCTTGAATCGAGTGCGCGATGCGCTAATGCGAGAGCCCCATGTTGAAAACCACCCGCCCTCAATGCGTGAAACTCTTGCAACTTTGTAAGACCATTTTGTGCTGCGCCAAGGCGGGAGCCACACTTTGAAAATGACTCGCCTTCCATCCGTGAAGTGGTTGTTTTTTGGAAAAGGGATGTGCGCGGCACTATGGCGCGAGCCACGTTTTGAAAACCACCCGCCCTCTATATATGTCAAGCTGTTGTCAATTTTGAAGCTTCAGGGTTAACACTGGTGCGGAAGTTTCAGGTGAAACGCCTGCCCCGCCCTGTCGACTGGCCTCGGGGCGTGACAGGGAGGAGTTACGCATAAGGGAAAGGAGCGGAGCGGAAGGAGGAGGAGGAGGAGGAGGAGGATGAGGAGGAGGAGGAGGGTAGGACGAGGAGGGAAGGAGGAGGGAAGGAGGAGGGAAGGAGGAGGAGGAGGAGGCGAGGAGGAGGTGGAGGAGAAGGAGGAGGAGGATGGAGGAGAAGGAAGGCCATCCTGGCCTCTGTCCCTCGTGCCACCGCGCTGGGGACGATGCAGAGAAGGAGGAGGAGGAGGTCAGGAGGAGGAGGGCAGGAGGAGGAGGGCAGGAGGAGGAGGCGGAGGAGGAGGAGGAGGAGGAGGAGGAGGAGGAGGATGATGCTGCGATGATGCTGATGATGATGGTGAGGAGGAGGAGGAGGATGAGGAGGAGGAGGAGGAGTAGGAGGAGGAGGGGGAGGAGGAGGAGGAGGAGGATGAGGAGGAGGAGGAGGAGGAGGAGGAGAGGAGGAGGAGGAGGAGGAGGAGGAGGAGGAGGAGGGGATGCGAGAAATCCGCGCGGACCTCCGAGTTGTTATGTTTATGTAGCTTTTTGTTCCCCTATTTGGGGGCCTTCCCAGATCCCATGGCGTTGCGTTCCCTATGTTGCGTTGCATGGCTAGACGCGCATTCCCAGATCCCACTGACAGTTATCCTTTCAAAAAGAGAGATGCACATATGGGGATCTCCACGCAGTGAGTAATGCTTATGCCACTTTTTGTTCCCCTGCCAAGAGCCAGGCTCGTCGACCGCTGCTCCCTGGAGAAGGTGCGGGAGGGCGTGCGCGCCGGCGGCTGCCCGCCGCGGGCCGCGCAGGCGGGGGCGAAGGGGGGGGGGCCCGCCGCGGCCCCTCGCCCTCGGCAGCGCGCCGCGCGGCCGGGAGCCGCGCGGCAGCACGGTGGAGGGAGCTCGAGCAGGGGCTCGGCAGCGGAGGTCGAGCAGGGGATCGGCTCGAGCGAGGAGGAGTAGAGTCAAGAACCCGAGTAAGGACGCGGAGAGCTCGAGCGGGGGATCGACGGCGGAGCTCGAGCAGGGGATCGGCTCGAGCGAGGAGGAGGAGGAGAGTCAAAAACCCTACCAGAGAACGCGCGACTTTGCTCAGGGTGCCCTTGCGTCCTTGCTCTTCCTTGCCCTTGCGTCCTTGCGGTCTTCGTCGCCCGCCGCCCCAAAACTCCCAGCTTCGGCTTCCAAGGGTCTTGCGTCCTTACCGCGCGTCCTAATTAGGGCTTCTGACTGTAGGGGATCGACAGCAGAATTCATCTGCCCCAGATTACTGTTTGCAGAGTCTGCGGAAACGGCCCCACACGAAGCACCAGCATCGCACACCGCATCAAGCATCAGCCAGCGCAGAGGCCAACTATACATGTCAGCGGGCCAGAGTAGACTGCAGCAGACTGGACAGGAGTGAGCTGGACCGGACTGGGGTTTACACTACTGCACTCTACTCTGTTCTAGTATACCCGACTCTACTCTACCACCTGCCCTACTCTTCTCCAGTAGACGCTGCTCTACCCTACTCTATCCTACCCTGGTCTCTTCTGTTCTACTCTATTCGACTCGATTCCTAATATATTATGTTCCAACTCGACTTTACTCCCAGACTACTCGGCTCTATCACAATTATGTATGTTACATTTCTATGTTGACTTCACTCCTACCATCCACTACTCTACTCTGTTCTAACATGTCCTACTCCTACCCTATCCTGCCCTGACCTACTCTACACGACACTGCTCTACTATTACTCCTGCTCTACTCTGCTTCACTCTACTTGTAGTCCTATTTTTCCCTCTACTGTACTCAACATTCCCGACTTTACTCCACCGTCTACCGTACCCTACTCTGATCTGCTCAACTGTGCTGCACTCTACCCTAGTCTACTCTAGCTTCGTTTTTCGATGGGGCCGTAGTAGATGAAGATCATCGGCTCGTTTTTCGTTGCCGTCGCCGTCGTCGTCGTCGTTGTCGTCGTCATCGCCGTTGTTAGCGGCGTCGTCGTCGTCGTCGTCGTCGTCCGTTTCGTCATCGTCTTCGTCGTCATCGGCGTTACCATCACCGTCACCGTCGTCGGCGTCGGCGTCGGCGTCAGCTTTCGGCGTCGGCGTCGGCGTCGTAAGCGTCGTCACCTTCATCACCGTCGCTTGCTGTTGGCGATTGGCGCAAGGGGGGCGGAGTCAGTTCAACCCCTCCCCCTGCAATTCTCCAAGTCAAAGAGACCTCTTCCCCGGTTCCACCCCCCCGCTCCACGAGAGAGGGCCCCCCCCCTGTTTCGACCCCCCCCCCCTTGCAACTCATGAGGGCGCCCCCCTTCCAGTCCAGTTCGACCCCCCCCCCACCCTTGTAATTCAGAGGGGGGCGGTTCGAACCCTCCCCCTTCCTTCCAAGCGAGCGTCCACAGAGCGCCCTCTTTCACATATGTTTTACACGCAACTGGTGCGGATCGCAGCCCCTCTTGCAGCCCCCTGCCGCACCCTGCGGGAGCCCAGCGACAGTTGGCCTCCTATTCCCATTTCCCCATCCGCGCGCAAGATATGTGGAGAGAGAGAGAGAGAGAGAGAAAGAGAGAGATCAGATGGACGAAGAGCGGGGGCGGAGGCGGACGAGGACGAGGACGAGGACGAGGAGGAAGAGAGAGGAGGAGGAGGAAGACGAGGAGGAGGAGGAGGAGGAGGTGGATCGAGGAGCGAGGATCGAGGATGAGCGGAGCGGCGATGAGCAGCAGGAGGAGGAGGAGGCTGAGCGAATGTGAGGGCAGAGGCAGCGGCAGGAGAACGAGGAGGCGCATGAGGAGGAGGAGAAGGAGGAGAAGGAGGAGGAGGAGGAGGGGGAGGACGAGGAAGAGGAGAGGAGAAGATGGTGGTGCGAGGGTGAGCAGGCCGTGACGTTGATGACGATGATGCTGATTATGGTTGATGCTGCTGGCGATGATGCGGATGACGAGATGACGACGATGGTAGCGATGACAATGACGATGACGATCACGATGACCACGTTCATGATGGCGATGATGATGATGATGATGATGATGATGATGATGATGATGACGATGATGATGATGATGACGATGCTGATGCTGCTGATGCTGCTGATGCTGATCAGATGATGGTGATGACGGTGACGGTGACGGTGACGACGGTGACAAGGGCGGCGACGACGACGAAGACGAATACGACGCCGATGTTCATGATGATGATGATGGTTGTGATGATGATGATGATGATGATGATGATGATGATGATGATGATGGTGGTTGTGGTGATGCTGATGATGATAATGATGTTCATGTGGATTGTTATGTTGATGCTGATGTTGGTGATGATGATAATGTTGGTGATGGTGAGTCTGATGATGCTGATGGTGATGATGCTGATGATGATGCTGCTAATAATGATGATCATGACGATGACGATGAGGATGAAGATGACGATGCCGGTGACAGTGACAACGATGGCGACGTCGATGGCGAAGACGAAAACGAAGACGACGTCTTCGATTATGATGATGATGCTGATGGTGGTGGTGGTGGTGGTGTTGACGGAGGACGGTGCCGGTAATGTTAATGCTATGTTGTTGATGATGATGGTGGTGGTGGTGGGGATGGTGATGGTGATGACGAGGTTGATGAGGATGCTGATGGTGATCATGCTGGTGATGCGGATGATTAGTATGATTAAGAGCATGTTGATGATGATGATGATGATGATCATGATGATGATGATGATGATGATGATGATGATGACGGTGACGATTAAGATGAAGATGATGATGATGCTGATGCTGATGACGACGAAGATGATGCTGATGATGTCGATGATGATTATGCTGTGGTGTTGATGTTAACGGTGATGTTGACGTTGATGTTATTGCGTGCGATGGTGATCATGTTGGTGATTATGAGGATGATGATGAGGATGATGATGTGGAATATGCTTTGATGGTGATGTTGATGCTGATGATGATGCTGATGGTGGTGATGATGCTGATGATGATTAAGGTTATGCTGATGATGCTGCTGATGATGCTGACGCTTATGATGCTGATGATGATGATGATCATGATGATGATGCTGCTGATGATGCTGATGATGATGATGCTGATGATGATGATGATGACGACGACGATGATGATGATGATGATGATGCTGATGATGATGCTGATGATGATGATGATGATGATGATGATGATGATGATGATGATGATGATGATGGCGGTGGTGGTGGTGACGATGACGGCGATGGTGGCGATGTTTGCGACGGTGATGGTGAGGAGAGTTGATTATCATGATAGAGGCACCGCGGTTGCCCCCGAGCAGCCAGGCGGTGGAGGCGCTCCTCGCAACGATCGAGGCGCACAGCCTCGCCCTGGCCGACAGACTCGCCCTCGCTGGCGTTTCGCGGCGCCAACGCGCCGCTCCCGCGTCGGTCCGAGGGCGCACAGCGCAAAGTGCGCGCGCGGAGCGGACGAGCAGCCCTCCGCCGCCGCACATCGCACATCTCCGCTCGCCGCTCGTCGCCTGCCGCTCGTCGCTCTCCACTCGTCGATCGCCGCTCGTCGATCGCCGCCGCCAGCTCCGTCGCCGCCGCCGCTCGCCGGCTCCGGCGGCCTCGCCGCCGTCGGCGTGGCCGCCGCCGCCGCGGTCGTTGCCAGCCTGGAACATATCCCTATCCCTATGCTGCTGGGCACCTCCTCATCACGAGGCCAATCTTAGGGATTCCCTTATTTTTTGAGGGCGAATCCCTCAGATTGTCATCGCCTTTTGGCGTGTCAATCTTAGGGATAGGGATACGTTCGAGGCTGGTAACGGTCGTTGCCACCGCTGCCGGCGGCCCGCGCAGTGGCCGCTGCAGGGCCGCCGAGGCACGCTCGCTTTGCTGGCGCGGGCGCGGCGTGCCGCTCTCGGCTCGGGCGGCTCGCCCCCGGCACTCCCATGGAGCGCCGCCGCGCGACGGCGTCGTCGTTCTCCTCCTCCTCCTCCGCCTCCTTCTCCTCCTCCTCCTCCGCCTCCTCCGCCTCCTCCTCCTCCTCCTTCCTCCTCCTCCTCCTTCCTCCTCCTCCTCCTCCTCCTTCCTCCTCTCCTCCTCCTCCTCCTCCTTCTCCTCCTCCTCCTCCTCCTCCTCCTCCTCCTCCTCCTCCTCGGGCCTTCGGCCCCTCGGGCAAACTCGGGGTTGGGTCCTGGCCAACCCTGGGTTTGCTTTTGGGCGGGCCGCTGCAGTCTGGTCGGGCTCTCCCCCGACTGTTCCCCGCGCCCGTGGGCGAGCGGGACCCGCCAGGGACCCGAGGTAGTCTCCAGTCTCCAGCCTCCTCCTCCTTCTCCTCCTCCCCCCGGCCTCGACGACCACGGCGGCGACGGCGACGGCGGCGGCGGCGGCCACGGCGTTGGCGGCGACCACTGCGACCAAGGAGGAGGAGGAGGAGGAGGAGGAGGAGGAGCGCGATTGTCTTGATTCAGGGAATGCAATCGTCGGGGGATCCAGGCTCGGTTCGAGGTTCGGGTGCGAGATTTGAGGCCAGCGGGCAGTTTCGTCGGTGCTCGGCGCACGGTTCCCCAGCCCCGCAGTGCCCTCCAGCAGCCGCGCCGAGGGCTCTCCGGGGGTGCCCGGCCCGGATCACCCCGAACGGCCGCTGGGGTCCCGAGTTCTGAGTTCTGAAGGCCAGGGGCGAACTCGCATATTCATTGCCGAGAGGGGCTCGATAGCTCATCCCGCCCAGGAACGTGCGGTGTCGCCATCGTGGGCTTGTCGCCGATCCGTCGGCTAGGCATCGCCGTGCCAAGGTCGATGTTTCCTCCCCCGGGCTGGTCCCCCCCGATCGGCCACCCTCATGTCTGATGCGTTTGTGGAGGTGCTCGTCGGCACGGCTGGGCGCGGCTCGACCAGGATGCCGGGGCCGCGGCCCATTCCGAGCGGATCTTGCCCAGATCTCCGATGTCCTGAAAGATTCCGTATGCCTTTGAATGACAACGTGCGGCCCGCGGGCGTTCTTGCCTTGGGGCCTTCGGCAAGCAAGGTCCAGGATGACCCAGGAGAGGGGTCTAGAGCCCGGGGACCCCACAATGGACAAACATGGATCGGAAGTTCGGGGATGAGGCATGCACTGTTCGGGCGTGTGATGGGGCCTTCTTGGGTCTACCTGGGCAGCCTCGTGGCCACGGCTGGGTTCGCAGCTGAAGTTCTGCGATCGGAGCCCAGGGACAACCCAGCGGGTCGATGCTGAAGGGGCGGGGGCACAGACCTCGCACGCGCCACGCGTTGGCAGGCTCGCCTCAGAGCTTCCGCCCCCCGGAGGCCGCTGGAGGCCCACACTTCGGGGCCCGCGGGGGGCACCGGCAGCAGGACCGAGGCACCCGAGAGGAGAGACGGGCCCCCAGGCTTGGGCCGGGAGGTGTGGGGCCCCAGGATGGCTCAAGCCATCGTGGGTAAAAAACACACACTGTGGGTAAAAAGCACACAGTTGGTAAAACCACACTGCGGGTAAAAAACATACAGAAGTGTGTGTTGTTTGTATGTTTTTTTACCCACAGACGTGGGTAAAAAACACACTGTGGGTAAAAAATGACATGGTGTGTTTTTACCCACAGACGCGTGTGTGTGTGTGTGTGTGTGTGTGTGTGTGTGTGTGTGTTTTGTGTGTATATATATATATATATGTTTTTTACCCACGCAACTCATGACGCGGGATACCCGGGGCCCCCGTCGTTGCCGCCGGCGCCGTGGCGTGGCCGCCGTCGTCGCCGCGCCTCCGCCGACGCCGCCGTCGGCGCCGGCGTCGTCTCGTCCTCGTCGCCGCCGTCGTCCGCCGCGGGCGCAGCGGCCTCGGCGCTCGGCTGGGCGCGTCCCGCAGAGCTGCCGCGGGCGCGGCCCGCGAGGGCGCTGCGTGCGGCCTTCCAGGGGGCCCGACATCCTTCGAGTAAGGAGGGAGTCGACGACAGAATTGATGTACCCCAAACTTGGTTTCGTCGTCGATCGAATCTACAGAAGACGTCGCCTTCGTTCTTGGGATCGATACAGAAACCAATGGTGGGGTAAAACAATTATGTAGTCGATCCCCTACCCAGATCCTTGCGTCGTGGCAAAAATCACGACGGACGGTTTTGGGGGGCATGCTCGGGCCCTTGCCCGGCCCAGGGACCGTGAACAAGCGACGCAGGAGGAGGAGGAGGAGTCGGTCCCACGGCAAAGGGGCCAGGCCTCTGAGGAACCACGCTGTGACAAAAGTCACCATCCCCTTCCGCCTCCTCCTCCTCCTCCTCCTCTTCCTCCTCCCCATCCTCCTCCTCTTCCTCCTCCCCATCCTCCTCCTCCTCCCCCTCCTCCTCCTCCTCCCTCTCCTCCCCGTAGTCCTCCCCCTCATCCTCATCACCCCCATCCCTGCCTCCTGTCCCTCCCACACCTCCCGAGTGCGCGCTAGCGCGGCGTGCGCTCTGGCAAGAGCGTCCTCTTTGGGAGCTCCGCAGGGCCCACCTCGGCACTGCCCGATCTCGCGCTGGTCGGTGGTTGCCAGAGGTGCCCCTGGCCCAAGTTTCCCCTAGCGTTCCCCCACGTTCTGGAGCCCCTGGGACCCTCCTTAGCCGCGTGAGGGGCACTTTAGAGGCCGCGGGAGGCGTCCTTGGAGCTCCTGGGGACACCTTGGGCCAAGGACACCTCTGGTCAGTGGCAACGTTAGGGGGGTATCGGCTCAGGTGGGGGATGCATCGACCCCCAATCGCCCATTCATCGCTGATCTGGGACCTGATCTTTCGCCCACCCCTGCCAGGCACCCCTCCCAGGAACGTGCGGCTTCGACACCGGGGGCCTATCGCCGATCTATCGGCGATGTATCGCCGATTCCAGAGGTCGAAGTCCCCCCCCCCCTGAGCTGGCCCCCCTCTAACACGTCCCCTCATCTGGGCTGCTCTCTTCCTCTCGCTCTGCTTCGGGCGCGGATGCGAGCGCCCCCCAGGGACCCTTTGACGATCTGCGTCAGGGGCGGGCAGGCCAACATCGTGAGGCCCCCGGCGCAGCTCCTGCGCCGATTGGGGGGGGCGCTGCTCCCTGCACCGACTGCGCACCGTGGCGCGCACGAGCGTGTGCGTGTGCGCGCGTGTGTTTGCGTGTGTGTGTGTGCTTGTGCGCGTGTGTGTGTGTGTGTGTGTGTGTGCGTGTGTGGTGGATGTGTGTTTGTGTGTGCGTGTGTGTAAGTGCGTGTGTTTGTGCGTGTGCATGTTCGCTTTTGTGCCTTCTTGCTGCCTCGGCCTGTCACTGCCGCACCGCGCCTGCTTGGCCTCCTTCCCCCTTGCCCGCTTTCCCCTTTTCCCCTCGTCCCTCTCCTCGCGGCTGGTCCCAGCTTCCCTTTGCTGCGCTAGCAGGACCGATACGCGCGCTGCCTCGATCTGTTCTACGCTTGCCGGCGCGCGCGCGCGCGTGTGTGCGTGTGTGTGTGTGTGTGTGTATGTATGCGTGTGTGTGAGTGTGTGTGCGTGCGTGCGTGCGTGCGTGTCGTGTGTGTATGTGAATGTGAGAGTGTCTGTGTGTGTGCGCGCGTGTGTGTGTGGTTGTGTGCGCGCGCGTGTGAGTGTGTGAGTCTGAGTGTGAGTGCGCGTGTGAGTGCGAGTGTGAGTGTGAGCGTGTGTGTGTGTATGTGTGTGCGTGTGTGTGCGCGCGTGCGTGTGCGTGGCCGTGCGCGCGCGTGTGTTTTTGTGTATGTGTGTGTGTGCGTGCTTGCGTACGTTTGCGTGTGTGTGCGTGTGTGTGTGTGTGCGTGTGTGTGGGGGGTGCGTGTGTGAGTGTGTGTGTGATTGCGCGTGTGCGCGTGTGCGTGTGCGTGTGTGCGCGTGTGTGTGTGTGTGTGTGCGTGTGTGCGTGTGCGCGTGTGTGTGTGTGGGTGTGGGTGTGTGTGTGTGTGCGTGCGTGCGCGCGCGTGTGTGTGTGTGTGTGTGTGTGTGTGTGTGCGTGTATGTGCGTGCGTGCGGGTAAAAGTGTGTGTGTGTGTCGGCCTCTCTGCCTTTCTCACACTATGACCAGCGTCGGCAGCGCTCTCGTCGCTTGTGCTCCTCCGCTGTTGTCACCGACCGTGCTCAGACAGAGCCCCTCGTCCTGTCCCTCTTGAGGCCGTTCCAGTGTGGGCTCCTCTCCTGATACACCCGCTCCATTGTCCACCACCCGCTCCCATTCTCCTCCCCGCGTTGTGCAGTTTCATCCCCTGTGCTTACCTGTCATTCCTCGACTGCTCCCCTCGCACGTCGGGTAATGGGGGCGAATGGGATCCGACGATTGTGCTGGCCAACGGAAGTCCCAGACGCGTGGCCGTTTTGCTCATCATGCGTTGAGATTCGTGACGCAGGCATGCGAATACGAGCGGTGGCTCACGGAGTAAGTACTGTGCAGAAGTTTATGATTTGCGTGTTGTTTACATGCATTTGTCTACCTCACCTGTTGGCTCTTGCGTCATCCCGTTTACATGCCGAAGGATGCTGCTGACTGCGAGGGCTGATGCGAGCAAGGACGCGGTTGCATTCGGTTTCTGATTTCTCTAGTCGATGTCTGATTTCACCTGTCATGGTACGGGTCGGTCTGAGATGTGGAGCAAAGCAGTTTGAGTTTGCTAAGTGAATTCGAAAGTGCTTTCACACAGGGCTGGTCAAGGTAGCTGGTGTTAGTACGTTCGGCAGTTGTCCGTCGCAGCCTATCCTGTGTGATCTGCTCGTGTGCACGGCCACGGTGTCTGAGGAGCCGTCGGAGCAACCAGCTTGGACGCCCGGCCTCTCAACTGCCGCAGCTCTGCTTCCTGGTCTTCGCGCGCGTCCATCCCTGATAGCACAGCCGGCATTCAGTTGGCTCCAGCATATTGCAGCGAGGGAGGGAGGGATGGAGGACTGAGGAGGACGCGCGAGGCCCGGGGAGGGGCGCAGGCTGTCCCACAGGGCCAGGCGCCGCCTTCAGGGCGTTCATTCTGCATGTGCGGCGGAGCCCATACAGTCAACGCGCCTAGTGAGGACGCGCGCCTTCAGTTAGGCTACCCTTCTGTCCTTGCCTCTGCGGCCCGTCCTTCGTCGTTTTCACTGGTCGCCCGCGGCCCAACACATTCCAACTTCGGCCTTCAAGGGTCTTGCGTCCTTACACCACCCGTCCCTAATATACGTTTTTAGCGCTGGAACTGGGCCTTGCCTTCACGACCAAGCTTTGCACGCAGGACGGCGGGCAGCTGTAGCCAGCAGCCAGCAGCAGGAGCGCAGCGCGTGCGTGGCGGCGCCTTGGCCGGAGATCAGACGGAGAAGAGAAGGAGGACCCGCGAGGAGACACACCCATGCCCACGGCACGGCTCCGACCGTGGACCCCCCCCCCTGCCGGACCGGCCGTGGCCCTCGGCCCCCGGGGGCCCCGTCGGCCTCGATGTCCCCGGGGCCCGTTTCGAGTCGACCGATCCGAGTCGTTGTGGACTCAAAGCCCAGCTCGATCCGTTTCGGTTCCAGCCTCCCCCCCGGATCCGGTGTGGCCCGTGGCCTGCACAGCGCAGTCGTGTGCCTGGACGCCGCCCGGCCCGCTTCGAAGTCGGCTGCGAGCCGAGTCGGCCCGATGCGATGCCCTGGCATCGCTTGGACGTGTGCATTTTTCCTTCGGCGAGGACCATCGAGGAGCATCCTTGATCATTTGGCGAAAAAACCACGCACGAAACCGACAAAAACACAGGGGATGGACGTCCGAGCGATGGCGAGCCCCTGCCAGACCGGCCGTGGCCCTCGCCCCCCGATGGGCCCCGTCGGCCTCGAGATCCCCGGGGCCCGCTTCGAGTCGACCGATCCGAGTCGTTGTGGGCGCAAACCCGGCTCGCTCCGTTTCCATTCCAGCCTCCCCCCCGATCCGGTGTGGCCCGTGGCCTGCACCAGTGCAGTCGTTCACCACCCGCCAAACCACCCCGACCCAACCCGAAGGCTCAGATTCTATAGGCTTACGCCACATCCGCCGACCCCTCATCTTGGCGGTCTTGCCGGCTCGCTTGAATCGGGCTGGGGAGTCGTGTCCGCCAAACCACCCCGACCCAACCCGAAGGCTCAGATTTACCTTCGATTTCCAGTGGGGGGGGGGTCGGGAAACATCGACAAAAACGCATGTGGAATCCTTACCCCCCCCAACCCGAAATTCGGGTCTTCGGGTTGGGTTGGGGTGGTCTGGTAGGTAGTCAGTCGTGTACGTGGACGCAGCCCGGTCCGATTCGAATGCGACTGCGAGGCGAGTCGGCCCGATGCGATGCTCGTCTAGATGCGATCCGATGCTGCGAGGCGATGCCGGCCGATCCTCCGCCCCTGCCGAGCGATCGTCGACACGACGGGTGTGCCCCAGGGGCCAGACATCCGACGTCGTTAGGAGGCCAAACGCGAACCCTACCCCTACCCCCCACGATTTCTGAGGGGAGGGTGGGGTTCACTTCGTTTTGGAGCTCACGAGCGAAGTGAACCCCACCCTCCCCCTCAGAAATCGTGGGGGGTAGGGGTAGGGTTCGCATGTGGCCCCCTAGTCGTGATCTTTGTCGCAGCGTGGCGTGGCTCCCTAGAGGGCTGGGCCCCCTCCCCGCCTGTTTTGGGGCGGCCCGGGGGGCCGGGGGCCCCTGGGGGGTGGCCAGGTCCTCCAGGCGGGCGAGTGTGCCCCAAAAGAGTCGGCCGTGATGCGGTCGGGGCGCTGCAGAAGGAGCCCTTTTCGTTGGGGAGGGGCTCGGTGTTCCTTGACTGTTTTACAGTTTGCCTCGGGTTTTCCTGGCTTTGTTTCTTCGGGAATCGAGGTTTGAACCTATGGGAGAAAGGGGCCTCGTTCCTTATTCAGGGTTCCTTATGTCAACGCCCCGACTGTAGCTTCACGACGCGAGGATCTTACCAGGGGAGGTCGTCGATATGACGGGAGCTTAGGGGTGCAATTCCGGGAGGATAAGTTCAGCATCGGCGCTGGTAGATTCGTACGTCCAGCCAAACTGGGCACTGTCCCATGTCGTCTGCTTTATTCCCGTGCCGTCCAGCTTGGTCCTGCACTCAAGATGAAGGGCTGGTCCCGTGGAAGGGTCCGTCCTGACCTCTGGGGGGCCACGTGGCCAAGACACCACGGCGTCGGGGGCCTCGCCCAGAAGCGGACACCACAGGCCGAAGGGGAGGGACACCGCCTGGATGATCAACATCGGCCCCCCTTGTGGCCAGGATCGAAAGCATAACTTACGTGTACATTGATTTTCGAGGGTTCAGAGAGTATGTGTTGCGCGAGCGTTCGTAGCACGAGGCTGGCCTCGTGATGTGGGGGGCCGCATATCCGTGTGCGCGGCTGTGAGCACCCTCCCGCGAGGCGGGAACCTGTGCAACACCACCGCCTGGCGATCGATCCTCGGGGACCCCGGTGGGCGGTGGGCAGGGATGCATTCTGGCCCTGGGGGGACCAACCTGCATTTCTGTCCTCCGCCTGCCGGAGGCCCCGAAGATCGATCTCCCAGGCGGTGGTTAGGGATACATCCCTGCCTCGCGTCCCTGCCGCTCGTTTCTTTTTTCTGGCCCTCGCCTCGGCCGTGTTCGAGCCCTGGATCGGCCCCCTCGTCGCTCTACGGGCGTCTCTCCAGGGAGTGAGGGCTTGACGATACCCCACGTCGAACCTCGAATCCCCTGACTCGAACCCCTGACTCGAACAACATCCAGAAAATCCATAAACAACCTGACTCCAACCCCTCACTCCAACCCCTGACTCCAACCCCTGACTCGAACCCCTGACTCCAACCCCTGACTCGAACCCCTGTCTTGAACCTCGAACCCCTGACTCGATCCAGAAAACAACATAGAACCCCCTGACTCGAGCCCCCCCTCCCCCTCCCCGCGCGCGCGCCGCCAAAAGTCGCCCTCGGCGGGCGGCTGGACGCCGCTGCACGTGGCCTGCCACGTCGGGCACGAGGCGCGCCTTCGCCTCCGCCCTCTCCGCTGCGGGGTGGCCGCCGCCGCCGCCTCCTCCCGCCGCCCTCCCAGCGCTCCGACGATGCGATGCTTCCTCGGTGCGTCCCGCTGTAGGAAGAGCTGGAGGAAGTCCTCGGAGCTGTAGGAAGAGTTGTCGGAGGTAAGGAGGTGCCTCGGAGCTGGAGTTTGTCCTCATGCGCACGCTGGAGGGCCCTCTCAGAGCTGTAGGCAGTGCCGCGGAAGAGGGTCCCGCTTGGGGGGGGGGAGAGGGAGTCCTGGGCCGCCCGGTCCCCGGCAGCCGCTTCGCCCGAGGCTTCCTCGCAGTTATGTTCAGGAGTCGCGTCCTCGCCTCCACGTTGGCTCCATGTTTGTCGGGGATGGACAGACCTCCTACCCTGACACGTCGATCAAGGAATTGGCCGTTTTCGGTTCGCGAGAGTGCGTCGCGGCCGTCATTCTTGCGGGTCCAGGTCCGTCGGTTTCGGTCCCAGGCCGTTTTCACTAAGGAGAGGTTTTTTAAGGGGAGGTTTGTCCACCGCCGAGTTTGGTCCCGACAGCCACGATCCATTGCAAACATACGTGAAGGTGCACATGGCTGTGGCCTCACCCCTTTCTCCCAGTTGCATCGTTGCTTCCTCCGGGCTTCCCAGACGTGCTTCTCCTTCTCCCCGACCTGCCTTGGCACCGCTGCTGCTATCAGGGTGCTTTGCTAGCTGCTGGAGTAATTCTAGACGCCTCGCGTAACCCCACCAGCCTGCAGTTGTGCACGCTGGCAGTTCCCCTCAGCTCAGTCCCGGCAGCCCCCCATCTGAGGCCTCGGCCGCGCTTAGTTGTCGCCTCGCCCATCGCTCTGTTTGTTCTTCCCGCGTTTCCCCTCAGTCTCAGTCCCGACAGCCCACCATCTGAGGCCTCGGCCGCGCTTCGTTGTCGCCTCGCGCGTCGCTCTGTTTGTTTTTCCCGCGTTTCCTTTGCCTAATTAGTCTCTGCGTAGCCCGCTTTGACCTGACACGCCGCCGGCGCGCTCTTCCGCGGCCGCTGACTAAAAAGTAACCCCACCAGCCTCTCCGGAAACGATGCCCAGACGAGTTGCCTTGATCAGGGATGTGGAGGAGAATGCAGTGGAATCAAGGGTTGGGTGAGACGTCTTACCCGAAGACAGAGAGGATGGAGGAGGAACTCGAAGAGGAGCGAGAGGATGATGATGATGAGGAGGAGGAGGAGGCGGATGCGGAGGAGGAGGAGGAGGAAAGGGAGGCGGAGGAGGAGGCGGAGGAGGAGGAGGAGGAGGAGGAGGAGGAGGAGGAGGAGGAGGAGGAGGAGGAAGTGGACGAGGAATATATTGAGGAGGAGGAGGAGGAGGAGGAGGAGGAGGAGGAGGAGGGCGAGCAGAAGGGCCATAATCCTCTCGGATCTTTGGATATCTTTGGAGAGTTTCTTGGAGTCTTCTTGGGGCGTCGTTGGAGGCCTCCTTGCGCCTCTTGGGAGTCTCTTGGGAGTTTCTTGGGGGTATCTTTGAGGGCATCGTGAGGGCCCCTTGGGGCATCCTGGGCACCTCGCGGTGCCGTCTTGCGGCGCCCTTGCAGCCTCGGGGGGCATCTTGGGGCCATTTTCCTCGGGAGAGATCGATTTCAAAGGAGGGGGGGCCCTTAGTCAGGGTCCCCTCCCCCAGGAGGCCAAAGTGTCACCATTTTTTCGAGCCGGATCGATCTGTGAGGGCCCCGTGGCTTGGAAGCCATGCGACGTCGCCCGTCGTGAACAAACATCGCAGCGCCTGGATCTCAGGTGTCGTGCTTTTTCCCTCGACGCTATATCGGATCTGCCCTGACCGTCGAGAGTGCTCAAAAGAATAGCCCTCCAGACCCATAGACGAATCTCGACCGCTCAAAGCCTCGACTGGAGTCTACACGTCGAGGCCCTGGTGCTACAGTAGAGGCGCGCAGCAAGAATCCAAAGCTTTTCGCCAGGGTACCCTGGGTTTCTTCGATCCGCGCGCTGCGCTGCGACTTCCCGCGGCCGCTGAATAAGCTGCTGCGTTCAGGGTGCCCTGGGCTTCCCCCGAGTCTCGCACCTCTCCGCGCGGGTCTGCAGGGCCGGGTCTCTTGCGAGGGTCTCCTGCGGCCGCGCACGCGCTGCATTCTTGCTTCCCTCCTGGGAGGTCAGGGTGGGGAGTCGGCGCGCGGCCGCGGACCCGGGCGCACCCCGAGGCCGCGGCCAGGGCCCTGCTGGAGGGTGGCGTGGCCCCGGACCAGGGCACGCAGCAGGGCTGGGTGCCGCTGCACACGGC